AACTAAATTAATTATATGTAATGGACTAGTTAAATATCCACCCAAAGATTTTCGACCTACGATCATCGGAGAAATGCATTGCCTACCTACGGGAGGACACCGAGACGTCACAAAGACATATAACCGAATAAAACATAAATACCATTGGGAAAACTTGAAGTCCGATGTTCAACTATACATACAACAATGTTTGCAATGCCAATTGAAAAAATTAGTACGCGTAAAAACGAAACAATCTATGATAATCACCGATACACCAGGATCGTCTTTCTACAAGGTAGCCATGGATATCGTAGGACCATTACCTAAAACTGAAAGATGTAATATGAATATATTTTAACCCTGCAAGACCAATTAACTAAATTTTGTATGGGAACACCACTACCGGATCAAACATCAGAAACGATAGCAGAAGCCTTCGTAGACAAATTTATTTGCGTATTGGGAGCACCTAAAGCTATATTAACAGATCAAGGGAGAAATTTCATCAGTGAGTTAATGAGAAAAATAGCAAAAATATTTAGAATTCGTAAATTTCGTACAACCGCGTTTCGCCCTCAATCGAATGGATCTTTAGAACGGTCACACTACGCATTAGGAAAATACTTGAAACAATACGCCAGTGAACAGAAACAATAGGACCGATGGATCGGTTTAGCCATGTTCAATTACAACACTAGCGTCTATGAAGCCACAAAACATACTCCGTACGAATTAGTGTTCGGAAAAATAGCAAGAGTACCGTTAAATGAGCTCTTAAATCCTAAAGATAAAATAGCTAATTACGACGATTATATAATAAATTTAGTTACACAACTCCACACAATCCAAACAAATGCTCGTGAAAACGTCATTGAATCCAAGGTTAAATCGAAGAAACATTATGACAAGAAAATTAACCCACAGAAATTCAAGCCTGGAGATTACGTATTTTTATTAAAGGGGCCAAAACCCGGTAAATTTGGAAACCAATATACTGGTCCCCATGAAGTTTTGGAAATATTAAACAGAAATAATATTAAAATTAAAATAAAGAAAAACAGCCGTATCGTGCATCCGAACCGACTGCGAATTTCCCACATAAAATCAACTCTTAATTAAATAAACTATAGTAATAAAATAAAATCGGAATTTCAGATGGACCCTCGAAACGGGCAATTCTCATATATAGCTGATATATCTCGAGATGCATGTCGACTCATGCATACTTAGCATGGAAGCTTCGAAATAGCCGGAACTCACATAACAGGTTTGCAATCTAATCAAACCGCATCACGTCCGATAGTTTTAGCCGGGCATGTCGACAAGGACGGCTCATGTACCGGCAGTGCCTACTCTGATCCTTATGGAACTTGGGGAAATGTCATCGTATTAGGCAGCCTCAAAATTATATTTCAAGATTATATTGCTGACCTTTGGATAAACACAAACCGTGTACACCTTAGATCAGGAGTAACCTGTGAACTAAGTTCTACTCATTGCACTGACATAGAAGGAGGAGACACCTTTTGGGATCCCGTACCCGTCGATCACTGCAGATCTTCTGATTATGGCGTATTATACAACGGATACGCTAATAAAATACTTGATGCTACCAATGAACGATCCCAAACGGTTTACTCAATAACCACAACAAGCATGATCCTTTCTTTAACTAGCACTGGAACATATACCACCTGTGGACATACACTTACCAGAACCGAACACCCAAAATTAATAATTTTTAAAACATCGCCTGGTGTTAAAGTTTTTAAAAGCTCTGGCTTTATAGCAGTAAACATCGATATCTTCACATACATAAACTCGAAATTTATATACGTAGAAAGATACGTTCGTACCCAAATTAATCAACTGTATAGGAACATATTATTGCAATAATACCAACTTGAATATCGTATGATGCAAAATCCATTAGCTATAGCTGCTAGATCGCTTGACGTCTTCGCATATCATTTTATGAAAGGACCTGGATATATGGCACTTTTGGCAGGAGAAGGTAATTCACATGGTAAAATGTGTACCGGGCGAAATAAAATTAGCTCACACTACCGAATGTTACGAGCAGCTCCCAGTGCTACGAGGAAACGAAACATATTTTTTGACTCCGCAAACACATATATTAATACGCCACGGAACCCAGATTACTTGTAACTCGTTTGCACCCACCATGTACCTTTTAGGAGACTCATGGTATAAAATTATGCTTAAACCGGTAGACATTACCACCCACCATTATGAAACCTTCAACTAAACCGTCATGGAAATACGTCAGTCCTGGAGCACTAGCGACTAGTGGAATATATTCACAAACCCCGACTTGGAAGAGCTTAAAGATCACATAATGTTCCCCGTGGAGCGACCTGCAATCCTTAATACCATGGCAAGAGGAGTATTAGGGTGGTCAACCGTAATAAATGGAGAATCACTTTCTAATCTCATAGATGAAGCATCAATAGAAAGAATTGCTATCTCCGCTTGGGAAAAATTCTGGAATAAGTTTTTAATCTTTGGTAATGTCAGCGCCGGATTGATAGGGATATATTTAATTGCTACAATTATTAAATTGCTACTAGACACATCCGTACATGGATATACCCTACATACGGTGTACGATTGGTCGGTGTACCTGTTGAGAGCCTGTTATGAGACTCATTTACTTAACTTTTATTACACCTAGGAAAAAATAAACCTAAGGACACGAATCCAAGCGCTCCGGATACTGATTTATAAGAACATAACGAAACTGAGATTAAGTTGGAACCTATTTATCCCCTCCTTTCCCCACAGGAAGATTCAACTTACACTCTCGAATTAAGAGGCTAAGCACGGAAAAAAAGGGAAAAAATCCATACTTTTTCGATTCCTTACATCAATCAATATACATATAAATAAATAAATAAATGAATAAATAAAAAAATAAGTAAATAAATAAATAAGTAAACAAATAAATAAGCACGAATTATATACATATACTCGTATATAACAAGATAGCATGCGGCGTCATGCAGGCATTTTAAATACTACGATAA